AGTGGTTTGTGACAGTGACGGCATTGGACATACTAGGTATCCAGAAAGTGAGTATTGAACTTTGATTAATTATTCACATAGTGAATAATCGGACAAGAACAAGTTAGTTATCTGGGCGGCTTTAATGGCAGCCAGTCCTTTGCTGGAGTGATTGAAAATTTTATGATGTGGAATCGAGCTCTCAGAGAAGAAGAGATAACAACTTTATATCAGGAATAATGTATGTGTCCAAAACATCACATGTTGCATCTAGCACTTCATGAAATTCAAGTGCATGGAAAGGTGACAGCACAGGCAGTACATGGTTGTCAGTAATGAAAATTTTAAAAGGCAGCTACGTTATACATTACGAATTGAGGAGGATGATTCATTTCTTTTAAAGACATTGATTCGTTACACATTTCTGTATTAACTCAATGTTTTATGTACAGTATTAAGGTTCAAAATATAATATCTTCTGGACCGAGGTGGCAATTTGGTATCATTTCAAAACTAATGGTTTACTTTAGAATATGAATGAAACTTTTCTATCCAATAAATTAATTTTTTTTATTACTGGGAATAGATTATTCAAATACAAAAATAACCAAGACGTAATTTCAATGCATAACAGCTTCTTACATTCTATAATAAAATTATGAAAAGTATCAGCATAGCGTCCCATACGCATTAAGTCTTATATTTCATAAATAGTTTTAATTTCTGTCACTACATTGTATTTAAACTTGAAACTGTTTTCGAAAAAATTTCCACAAAATTAAAATTTTTGTTGCCGGGCGCAATACGCCAGCGCTTTTGATAAATGTTTTGGTGTGAATATCTGCATAGAAAGACCCTGAATTTGTTTTACTATTGGGAACAATAGCACCAAGACCCCTTCCCGACGCAGTCATTGCAACAGAATAAAAGAATCGTGGTAATGGACATACGGAAGGGTTTTTGAGAAGAGCATTATTTGATACGGTTTATCAGCCTATCTGATCGTGTCTCTATAACAACATTAAAAGTGCGCGGGGAAGGGAAATCTAGTCTATTCAGTGACATAAAGATTTTGTAAATAGAAAACAATTGGCCAATACACGTGAACAACACTAATACATCGAAAGAGAAAATTTCAGAAAAATAAAAAAAATGTTTCTATAAAATTGAACTCTGGAGTAAATGCATCATATCAACTCCATCATACGTTTTTTTTTATATATTTGAGATGCAATTTTGTTGTGTTGTTTTTACCTGATTATTTGATTAAAATATTGGAAATGACTTCAGGACTGTTGGTATTAAAAACACTAGTCTTTGATTTAAAACGATCGCAAATAAAAACTATTCAAAGTGACAGATAATACGAAATCCACGTAACCCAACATCTGATTCCCGGGTAGATTTTGTGGGTCTGGTATAGTTTATTTAAGTACCGCAAGTACTTCGGTTGAGCGTAGCATAACGAATTTCGCATATGTTATTCCTGAGCCTCGTCTGACTATGTCATCCAAAAATTACGTCACCCGCACGTCATAGAGTTTGCTAAAGTATAGTTACGATTTCCCGAAACGGCATATGCGCCGCCGATAACGAACTCACTAAAGCCAGCGATCTCTCCCGTATTGGGAGAGTTGCGACCATCGAACTGGAAATACATGGAACGATCTTCTCTCTCGTTTTGCGTTGTCTCGCCGCGGGATCATTTGATCGCCGCCATCTTGGCATTTATGCTTCCAAAATTTATTCGTGTTGCATATGGTTTTGGCCAGTATTTCGTCTATTTTAGTACCCAGTGCGCCGCATATGGATGTATATGCGACACTGTGTGGGTATTCAAATACAATTATATTAGAGTTGGGAATTAATCGCCCGATGTGGATTTCGTTCTTGAAAAAATTTGATTGTTCAGGCGATTACACAATAGATATAAGTGGAAACAATTATTTTTGCCTGATGTCATAAAATTGCACTATCCTCCACGGGGAAACTTTCACCCAAGTCTTGGGTAAAGTGCGAAGCGCAGCTCCCGTAGTCTGTGTTGGGGTTAGGCCATACCTATATTCCGATTTTTCTTATTTTAGTTCTATCACGATATCGGGTAATGTGTGTGTTAGCCAAGTGAATATGTCCTTCGGTCCCTTTACACACCTTGATGTAAAGTAGGCGAACTATATTACACACACTTCTAGAGCGCCCTTCAGTTTTATTTATATTTATTCATAGCTTGGGTACTACGGAACCAGGCCACGCAAAGATATTGAGATCGCCACGCAAAATACTTGAGGCGGTAAAACATGGCCAAATTCAGGTGAACGGGGAAGCGATTCCGATAAGCCATCTTGGCTAAATGTTCTGTGGTCGTTTTTGTTCGCTTTAGACTGATACGTTGGCTATATTATTAACCACAACTTGAGCAAATTTATAAAACTGCCAAAATTAGCACCGTATGTTGGTCTGGGATATATTAGCGTTTGATATATAATGAGAAACGAGTCATGATCAGGAGAATATGTGAGAAAAATTGACGAAAATAATTGATTTCTGTCAAATACCATAAGAAATGCATTACGCGACTAGGAAAAGTTGGAAGCATATCGTCAAAACGAGAGAGCGTTCAAATGATCCTGCGGAAACGAGAGAGAAGCGCACTCTATTTATATATCTCTGTGGTTGCGACGAGAAAACGAGAGAGATAGCTTGCTCGAATTCGAGTGATCGTCTGGGCGTTTTGGACGATCATCGGTACATTTTGGAGGTCTTTACGCCACTGTGAGATCCTAGTGACGTAGTCAGGTGATATATATTTCATTTATTCGACGTTTTTAATTCCTTCAACTCTTAAAATATTCGAGACAAGAGTTATTAACCGGATTGAAAATATAAACAAATATATATCAGTTATAAAATTTCAAATTGGTTAAATTCTGGAACAAACTCTTCAGCTTACTTTGCCTACTGGTAAATCTGGCCCTGTAGACCATATATATATCGATATCACCTTTTTCGCCAATACCAGCGAGAAAACGGCACTGCAATATTTTATATACGCCGATATTTTGAAAAGCCGATATTTAAATTCCGATAAGATGTAGTTATCATTTTGGGTGGACGGTAAAGGCGGTATAAAATAGTTGTACGCAAACTACATTTACGGTGAACATTATTTCGGCTTGAAATACGGACACCCCAGAAAGTGAAAAATCATATTTGCAATTTAGATACATAACTGGCATGTCACTAGATTCACTACTAACGGTTTATTGAAATATTTAAATTAATTGCAGCATGGTAACTTTGTACGTATGCAAAGGGGATCCTCATCATTTTTATTAAACAGATTATGGTAGTTTTCTCAGATATCTCGTTGTGCGCAGAAGCAAGAAATCGCTGTGTTCGAATAAAAGCACATAGCGTGATGGCTGCACTGTACGTGGTTAGGAAATAAATATCTTTATCTATCCTGTTAAATCAATACGAAAAGTTGCTACGCAGGATTTTGTGATATTTCTATGTCATATTTTGTATTTTGCACAAAGGGCGAATCCAGTGTGATATTTGGTTGATAAATATCATTTATCATGAAAACGTTAATGATAAAATTTGATAGCGAAAATAGCACATTATCACTAGCTAAAAACAAGTCGAGAATCAGGGTAAATCTGCATAACCTATAGAAATGTGGTTATAAACAAGTTATATATTTGGTATATGAAAAGTTGATGTCAGATGTCAAAAAAAATTCCGATACCGATACATCGGTACATCTCGTATATACCAATCTGTTACCGGGGACTGTCGCGACTTATTCGTCAAATATTTTGTTCCACATATAAAAAAAATTGGAGACTTGAGAAAAAGATTTTGTTCATCAGACACTGCAGCTGCAAACCATGCACAACAACGCACATTCTTCAAACAATTACAATTGCAAATGGTACATCAGCCAATTCATTTCCAGTGAATTTCCCGCAACGGTTTCTTAAACGATGATACCCGAATAGCGCCAGAATTTTAAATTGAATCTAAAATCGAACTCAGACTTCAGATCGGAATTTAAATTTGCAATACTAGGAAATACAGAGGTAGTCTGATTAAATTGTACTAGTAATCACAACTTTTCGAAGCGATCTACAATTGAAAACATAACATTATGCTAAAACAACAAAAAATGTATTAATCAACCTGACGAATTTTAGAAAATACGCCAGGCGTGCAAAAATTGCAGCAAATAATGCTGAAAATTGAGCAACATAATTATTTTTGTTTGAAAACCCTTTCGTGCGAGCATGTCTGCAAATTGTGGTAAATCGCAAGTTCTCCAAAAACTGTTTGCGTAAGCGATAATATGATTTATTACTTATGTGGGTATTGAAAACATCTACAGGATTTGAAAAACCAATTATGATGCATTATTTAGAAAAGCAATGCAACCGACTGTGTTGCGCGTATGTTCACTGAGAAATACTCGTTTGACCTAATCGAGAAGAATTTGAGTAATCCCTAAAAATAGCATCCTCCATCGTCCAACTCACGTGTCTATACCTATACTTTTTGGGTTTTAATACGGAACGATCTAGCAAAACTTTCGGTTTTAAAATCTTATGAGAGAATACCATTTTTCGATTTTTTGCAACAAAGAAACAGTTAGGAAACGTCACGGTGAAGAATTGACAGCAGAAATGGTGTTCGAATTATTTATTAAAAATATTCATTTTGAGATAATTGTACATCTTGGCAGTATTTTGATATCTCGACACTGACTAAGTTCATTGCAAATAACCTCCGAAAGTGTAAATTTATTTTTACATTAGAATACATCATTTTTTTTACGTCGAATCACAGGATTTGTTGAGTGAAAATTCATAATAACCCACTGCCACTTCTTTTCAGTCCTAAATAAACGCGTCACTGAGTTCCATTAGTATTTTACCAGGTAGAAAAAGTCTCTCGTGTTTCAGAAACTTGCCTATATAAGCTCTGAGAGAAATGAAGTGGTTTTCATTTTTCAGCAATATCTCGCAAATATCATGTCCGTGTTATACGCAATTTTAGTTTTGTCCACAGCAGCAATATTTCAATCTCAATCTCAACCACCTTGCGACTTGAATTCATGTCGATTACAAGTAGTTTGTGAAAGTGATGGCATGGGACATACTAGGCATCCAGAAAGTGAGTGTTAAACTTGCGTTATTTACAAAGTATTTTTAATTGATAAACAATATACATAACGATGTTATTAATGTTGCAGAATGCCCACAGACTGCCTACAGTTTTCCCGGTGGTAAACAAACAACAGATTATATTCGCGTCAAGTCTCCGATACCACAGATGCGTCAATTTTCTATATGTGCATGGATGACACCGAAACCGGGTACGAACATGAAGGGTGTTTTTGTGAGTTACTCCACACCGAGAATGACCAATGCGTTTCTAATGATGTTGGAAAGTAGTGGTAAATTGACCCTGTCTTACAATCAAGTTTATATTGGGGATAATACCATTTTCCGCTTGGCCACCAGAACGCATTTTTGCATAAGTCTGGAAGCATTTCTTGGAACAGCAAAGATCTATCTCAACGGAGCACTTTTTCAAACACTTACATTTGCCAACGAACGAAATGAAATAGAAGGTGGAGGTGCTTTCATAATCGGACAAGAACAAGATAGTTATGTGGGCGGCTTTGATGGCAGCCAGTCGTTCGCTGGAGTGATTGAAAATTTCATGATGTGGAATCGAGCTCTCAGTCCAGAAGAGATAACAACTTTGTATCATGACAAATGTATGTGTCCAAAACACCACATGTTGCATCTAGCACTTCATGAAATTCAAGTGTATGGAAAGGTGACAGCGAAGGCTGTAGATGGTTGTTAATGAAGAAAATTTCAAAGGAAGGCAAGCTATTGCGAATTGAGGACGGTGATTCATTCCTTTAACGACATTATTTCTGAATTTGAATAGCGTTACACATTTCTGTATTAACGCCATGCTTTAAGTACAGTATTAAGGTGCAAAATGTAATATCTTTTGAAACGAGGTGGCAATTTGTATCATCTTTAAACAATGGTTTAGTAAAATTTGATTAAAATTTATCCAAAAAAATATTTTTCTTATTATTGTGAATAAATTCCAATCAAATAAAAAATATTTTTCCCATTTCCTGTATTATAAATAAAATCGCAAAACCTTTCAAGAAAAGTTCGACAATATTGAAACCTATGTCACCGGGTATGAGAAGCTAGCGCTTGATAGAGGACTTTGGGAGGGAGAAAATTTAATGAAAGTAAAACAGATTGTTTCTATGAAATAGAACTATGGAGTAAACCATATAATATGGAGCATATATTTAAGATGCTATTTTGTTGTGTTGTTTTTTTCACCTGACAACTAGATTAAAACATTGAAAATCGCTTCAAGACTGTTGGTAGCCTTTATTCAAAACAATACCAAATCAAAGCTATTCACAGTGACAGATAATCCAAAATCGAGGTGACTCAACAGTAAAGAAAACAAAATAGAAGTCAGCTATATAGTTCATACTAATGGTATCATAATATTGGGCGCATCTATCAGATATATCAGCCGGGTCCGAATCTCATGAGTGATGTGACAATGTGTCACACAACTGTCATACTACTGTCAATATTAGTCTTAAAATCAAGTTTTTTTACAAAGTATTTTCAACGAAATCATATGCTCACCAAATGCTTGGATTGCGGGAAATTGGAATATCTTTTAGGGGTCGCACCAAAAAGATTTTGGGGAACCCTGGGCTAGACTACCAACTCATTCTAACAACAATTCAGTTCATTAAAAATTCAGCTACTAACTTTTGGATTTATCATAACTATGAGAATTGATTTTTACCAAACCATCTGTATGCCACATGCTTATGGCGTACCATCTTAGCCGAGCGTGCCCAGGGTTGTGTCCCCCTTCCTGACACAGTATATTTAAGGGGTATTTAGGCTCTCGTTTAAGAAGATCTGCGCCGCAATATAAACTACTGTGACGTTATATTTTTTTGCCTTTTCCTATTTCAATACTGAGTGATTTCAACAATAATACACGTTTCACAATTCTACCATCAACAACTGAAAGCTACAGTGCAAGCAACGTTTTTATTTTAACTTTCTAAATATTGGACCACGACACCTCGATAATATTTTAATAGAATCTGTATATATATGTCATTAATCTTAAAAATTGTTATATTTACCACATCAAAGTGTCATATTACACGAATTTGTTTGATAACAATTTATTCCACGTAATTCGGGATACAAGTTTCTTTTTCATCCTACGCGCAGAGTGAAACGGCGCAGGTTTCACCAGTACTTATTTAATGTCAATTATTTTTTAGATTTAAAATTAATGCATTACATTGATAAAATTGGCAGAGCTGAGATTGATTCCAAAAAAAAATAGGAAATTAGATAAGAGAGTAAGAACTATAAATTGCTTTTCCGTAATAATATACTGATAAAAATTGTGCATTTTGCATGAATTTTGATTTTAGCCAATTTGTCGCTACAACTCAACTTTGTGTGCATAGCTCTCGTCTGTCTCTCCCGGTCGAATATATATTTTTTGTGAGACGCTCCAATAGTTTTAGTTCCAACTTTCGGATGTCATCTTCAGTTAGCTAATTCTTCTTTTTCAGATCCATTTGCCGGAATGCCGCGTCGGACCTGTTTGTCGTTTTTCTCTCGACTCATCATTTCTTACTTTTTCGAAATATTAAAAAATCTGAAATATATGACATGTATTATAGCTGCTTGAACACTTTTTCACCAGGACATCTCTGTGGTATAAGTAAGTATGAATAAGAAATAACCTAAATGGAATTTAGTTGGATTTGTTGTAGTTTATCCGTAGATCTTAAAAAACAGTTCGAAAAGCTAAGATGGACCAGACTGAACGTAGATTTCAGTATATAATTTTGCTCTCGTTTTCTGTGATCACTGCGCTATATTTTCTGTGGCCAACACATTTGGTTTGCTCCAGGTAGACTAATAAACTTATTACCTTTCTCTTCTCAGTTTATCACCGTCTCTAAGCAGGAAATAAAAATGGTGACGGAGTATTTCCGGATTTGATGTAAGATTTTCCGAATTGATTACTCTCTTTGCCTGAATAAATAAATATATATGAACAAACAACATTATATAAATGTAGTTTGGGCAGAAAATGATCAACTTAACGGCTTCTTTATCATGAAAACCCAATGAGTCTTAAATTGCATTGAATGTCGGACATTTTAAACGCAATTATTATTCATATGCGCGGACTATTTATTATACAGGGTGGGTAAACAGTACGTTGAGAGTTATTAAAGTGAAAAAACTATAATCCTAATTACATTCTGCTATCCCGTAGATACAGAATCCAAAAACTGAAAAATGGATATGTCGAAAAAAATTCGTTACTTGAAACAAACAGTGGTTGAAATATCAATAAATCTGTCGTCTCAATGAAATAATTAATTAGATCGTCAATATAAGGTGGCAAGGAGTAAAATGTTCATGTTGAAAACAAAATAATAAACTTAATATTGGCTTTGAAATATCAAACTAGATGATACTGGTAGTCTGTTTAGAAAAGTTGAAACTGAATGAACTACATCTTCAAGTTTCCACATAAAAGAAATTTCATCCATTGTTGTATATCCGCTTCTGCACAGCCAATGTCAGTAATTTTTTTCTGTGGACTCCAGTAGAAAATGATAGACTCCTACCGTATGATATTACGTGATGAAGATGACCTGAAACATAAAAGTTTTGTTCCCTTTCTGACTATATAACACACATAAGTTCTACAAAAATACGAACCCAAACTCACCAAATAATTATGTCGACAAATAACGAGACCATAAATTTTTATGAAATTGTCTATTACAGTGGTTCCGAATCTTTATGTGCGTGTGCGCCAAATTATCAGGGAAAAAACTCACGCGCACATACTCGAAAAAATTGCTGCTTTTATAAATAAAACTCAATATTGTGATCGTTATGTGTATTTTATGCCTTTCAAAGTTTGTAAACATGTAGAAAGAGTCCTTTCTCCTTTCTTCATGATTCTCCTTTGAAATACTGAAAGTCACTCATGTTCGCTAAATTCGGCTCATCGCATGAATAAACTGGAGCTCGTGGAACTGCTGTAAATAGTGGCTATACCTCTACTATTAGGTAACAATTGGTAACAATAGAGGCAGACATTACGTAACAGGAAGTAAACGACATAGAAAGGTAAAATGAACATATTGATTCATATAAACACAACATTTGAAACTAGAAACAATAAAACGGTAATTTTTAATGAATACGATAGGTAAATATTCAACCATATATTAGTTAAGTTTAACACAATTCTGTTAATTTTCGGAGCGCACTTAGGAAATCGCAGCGGCGCACTAGTGCGCCCTGTTTGGAAACCACTTGTCTATTTTATTGCAAAATATCCTCCTATAAATTAAAAACACAAGTGGAGGAAATTATAAATAGCGTGCAACTAACTATGTATCATGATTAGCAGGGAATATTGCGTTCGTATGACGTCAGTGTAAGCACTCTATCTCCGGATCAGTTATAGATTCTCCTTAGGGGTTATCTTTCTGAACAGAATATATTTTGATTCAAACTTAATTATCAGGAAATAAGCAAAAATAGATATGGACTAACAGGGCAGGATTGAAGCTCTGGGGGTAGGCTATACCACAATAAATTAAAAAACGATTCCTAGGTTCGCTGTTGCCTAAATATTTATTTATTTCATTTATTCGATGTTTTTAATTCCTTCAACCCTTAAAATATTCGCGACGAATTTTAGTGACTTGATTAAAAATATAAACAAATATCAGTTGTAAAATTTCAAACGGGTGAGATTCTGGAACAAGCTGCTTTTAAAATCCAAAACAACTTATGAATAAATACCAATTCAAAATTGAATGTCAAGGTCTCCGGGCTCCAGTCTACATAGTACATAATGAGGAAAATGGCCCTGTTTACTAAATAATAATCGATACTATTTTTTCGCCGATACCAACGAGAAAACGCCAATACCGATACGCTGATATTTCAGAAAGCCGACATTTTAATACCGATATTCCGATAATATGTAGATATCATTTTGGGTGTACGGTAAGGCATAAAATAGTTGTATGGGAACTATATGTACGGTGAACATTATTTCGGCTTGAAAACGGACACCACAGAAAATAAAAATTAAGATGCATTATTCTAGATGCCACTAGATGTCACTAGATTGCCTACTAACGATTTATTGAAATACTGGTACATATGCGAAGGTAAGAAATTTTACCCATTTTTATCAAACAAATTATAGTAGTTTCTGCAGATGTCTCGTAGTGCACCGACGCATGGAATCGCTGTGCTCGATTAAAAGCACATAGCTTGGTGATACTGCACATGGTGAAGAAATACGCACATGTTAACCTATCCTGTTAAATCAATACGAAGAGTTGGGTACGTATGATTTTGTGACATTTCTATGTCATATTTTGTACTTTGCACAAAAGGAGAATCCAGTATTATATTTGGTTTGGTTATAAACAAGTTATATATTTGGTATATGAAAAGTTGATGTCAGTGGGCATTACTCAGTAGCATGACTCAGCGTTAACGAGTAGATGGCCCGAACGTGATTCCGCCACGGCTAAAAATAATTTCAGTTATCAGCGTCCGTATACTAACTCATATTTTAAAACATTCTAGAAAATAGGTGGAGGAAAAAGAGGTGAAAATATCGGCATAATGTAGCCTATACCGATATCGGAAAAATGGCCGATTTTTTCCGATACCGATACATCGGTACATATCAAATATACCAATCTGTTACCGTGGATGGTCGCGACTTATTCGTAAAATATTTTGTTTCACATACATATAAAAAAAAAATGGAGACTTGAGAAAAATATTCCGTTCATCACACACTGCAGTTGCGAGCCAGGCACCACAACGCACATTCTTCAAACAATTACAGCAAATTCCATTTCCAGTGAATTTCCCGCAACTGTTTCCTAAACGATGATGACTAAATAAGGTTAGAATTTGGAATTAAATCTAAAATCGAACTCCGTTTATGAAATATCGGAAGCAACTGCATTTTCTGCAAACTTCAGATCGGAATTTAGGTTATATATGTTTACTGGAAAATATAGAGGTAATTTGATAATATTGTACTAGTAAACACAACCTTTCGAAACGATCCATATTTGGAAACATAACATTATGTTAAGACGACAAAAACGCATTAAGAACATGACGAATTCTGGATAATACGCCAGGCGTGCAAAAATTGTCTGGGGTATGATTGTTAAAAAAAAAATAAAGAATGAAAACGAGGTATTTGAATAAGCAGATGTGATTTAGACGGTCCGTTACTAAAGCGGAAAGACTCGAAGACATATTTTGTTACAGATAGGTTTAAAGCGTGCATCGACATACTGTGGTTATTTCTAAAATTTACTTCTATTTGCCGACAGAACAAATAGACTAGTATTTTTTATGAGAGAGCAAAACACATTCAACATATTTCGGTAAAAGTTTATATCAGCTACAATTAACATTACAGTGAATTTATTTTTTGGGTAATCTTGGATTATCGTCACGCTATAGCATATGGGAATTGACACTCGCGATTTCCAACTTTTTCAGTCTAAATTATATTGGATTGTTTATTTTATTTGAGGATATATGGTATTTTATTCTTCGTATATATATCATTTGGGAAAAATATTATTTTTGATATAGGTGCGCAGAGCACGTATATTGATGATCTGTTTTGGGATTAAACATCGTGGATACTGTAAATTACAAACGTTTATCGAATGTTTAATCTTCGGGACTCATATAGATATATATAATTAAGTTGCTATATTGCGAATGTCCTCAGGTCACATTTCTTTTACAATGCGCCATTATGACATCACACGCCTGCATCATTCAAATAAATTTGAATCCGTCTGCCTTTAAAAAATTGAACCATGTGAAATTATTCACTCTTAATGGCATAACAATATCTTCAGTAAGTTTTTATGTTTTACTCAAAACCGATAAAATGACTTACGTACTTTTGTTATTAGCGAGACGATATTTTGTTATAAATCACTTTGTACGTGCATATCTGCATATTGGGGTGAATTCTATAATCTGAAAAAATCTGCAAGATTTGAAAAACAAATTATGATTAGGGCTGGGAATGGTTAACTGGTTAACCGGTTAACCGATTTTAGATGGTTATCGGTTGCGATTTATTTTAACCGTTAACTGGCATCTCAGGTACAAATCAGCTTTATAATGTAACATTCTTTCAAAAATGATTACGTCATCGCAAATTTATTCCCTGTGGCGTTAACTCAAAAGAATATCACTAACTATTTTAATAAGGACCCAATAAATGTGGAAAATAATTGAAGTACCAAGATTGCTGATTATGAAAATTTGACAATAATTAATTATGAATCAGTTTTCGGTCGAAATATATTGTTCACGATTTCATTTCAAAATCGTTTATTCAATCTCAACCACCAAGTGCGTAGTTGATGCTGTTTTTCTTTATATATATCAAAGTAGGATTTGCAATCAAACACTAAAATTTCGTCACATAAATGACATTTAATAACAGATTCTGGTTTTTCTAAAATACTTCCATATGTCCTACCCACACTGAATATCTCTTGCAGCAGAGCGATCACGAAACTATCTCGATTCGTGAATAATTTTGAGCGATACCGGGATAAGGTCGCGCGAAATTGCTTTGTAACCATTGTGACGTAACAAGCAAAAAATTATAAATTATTATGTGAAACAACACGCTGTGGTTAACCGGTTAATGTTACCCGGTAATCGGTTAAAGTGTTTCTCTGAAATTACCAGCCCTAATTGTCATTATTTAGAAAAGCAATGCAACCGACTGTGTTGCGCGTGTGTTCACTGAAAAATACTCATTTGAACTAATCGAGAAGAATTTGAGTAATCCCTAAAAATAGCATCCTCCATCGTCCAACTCACGTGTTTATACTTTTTGGGTTTTAATACGAAACGATCTAGCAAAACTTTCGGTTTCAAAATCTTATGAGTGAATACAATTTTCCGATTTTTTGAAACAAAGAAACAGTTAAGAAACGTCACAATGAAGGATTGACAGCAAAAATGGTGTGCGAATTAGTTGTTAAAAATATTAATTTTAAAGATAATTGTACATCTTGGCAGTATTTTGATATCTCGACACTGACTCATTTCATTGCAAATAACCTCCGAAAGTGTAAATTTATTTTTACAATAGAATACAACATGGCCATCTTTTTTTTACGTCTCATCACGGGATTTGTTAAGTAAAAATTCATAATAACCCACTGCCACTTCTTTTCAGTCCTAAATAAACGCGTCACTGAGTTCCTTTAGTATTTTTTCACGTAAAAAAAGTCTCTCATGTTTTAGAAACTCGTCTATATAAACTGAGAGAGTTAAAAAACCTGCACTTCATTTTTCAGCAATATCGGGGAAAAATCATGTCCGTGCTATACGCAATTTTAGTTTTCTTCGCAGCAGCAGTTTTTCAATCTCAATGTCATTTACCTTGCGACTTGAATTCATGTCGATTGCAAGTGGTTTGTGACAGTGATGACATTGGACATACTAGGCATCCAGAAAGTAAGTGGTAAACTTGCGTTATCTACAAAGTATTTTTAATTGATAAACAATATACATAACGATGTTATTAATATTGCAGAATGTCCACAGACTGCCTACATTTTTCCCGGTGGTCAACAAACAACAGATTTTATTCGCCTCAAGTCTCCAATACCACAGATGCGTGAACTCTCTATATGTGCATGGATGACACCGAAATCTGGTTCGAACGTGAAGGGTGCTTTTGTGAGTTACTCCACATCGAGAATGGATAATGCGTTTCTGGTGTTTTTTGAGGGCGGTAGTAAATTGACCCTGTATTACAATCAAGTCAATAGTCCGGATACCACAAATTTCCGGATGACGACTAGAACGCATTTTTGCATAAGTTTGGAAACATTTCTTGGAACAGCAAAAATCTATGTCAACGGAGCACTTTTTCAAACACGTACATTTGCCAGCGAACGAAACGAAATAGAAGGTGGAGGTGGTTTCATAATCGGACAAGAACAAGATAGTTTTGTAGGCGGCTTCGATGGCAGCCAGTCGTTTGCTGGAGTGATTGAAAATTTTATGATGTGGAATCGAGCTCTCAGTCCAGAAGAGATAACAACCTTGTATCAGGACCCATGCATGTGTCCAAAACATCACATGTTGCATCTAGCACTTCATGAAATTCAAGTGTATGGAAAGGTGACAGCACAGGCTGTAGATGGTTGTCAGTGATAACAAGTTTAACAGACAGCAACGTTATACATTACGAATTGAGGAGGATGATTCAATTTTTTTAACGACATTGCTTCTAGTTACACATTTCTGTATTAAAGTTATTTTTATGTACAGTATTAAGGTGCAGAGTATAATATCTTCTGAAGCGAGGTGGCAACTTGGTATCATCTCCAAACCAATAGTTTAGAATACAAATAAAATTTATCCTAGAAATTAATTTCTTATATTATTGGGAATCAAATACAAAAGTAATCAAAATGTAATTTTCTAACATTCAGCTTCTAACATTTTGTAATAAAATTATAAAAAGTATCAGTATAGCGACTCATACGCATTTCAAAAATATGTCAATTTTCTGTCATTTTAATTGTAATTAAAATCGCAACAGTTTTCGAAAAAACATTTCGACATTACTAAAACTTCTGTTGTCGGGTAAAAGACGTTAGCGCTTTTGCATAGAAAGACTCTGAATTTGTTCTATTATTTGCAACAAATAATAAGATCAAGTCCCCTTTCCGACGCAATCGTTGCTATCGTTAAAAAGCATAAAAGAATATTGGTAACGGGCATCTAGAAGAGTGTTTGAGAAGAGCATTATTTGATACGGTTTATTATCTGATCGTGACTCGATAATAACGTTACAGATGCGTGGGGAAGGTAAAGGGCCCAGTAGCACACTATTACTAGCAGTATCTTCTATTGAGGGACATAAAGATTTTGTAAACAAAAAACAATTGGCCATTACACATGAACGACACTAATGCGCAGAGAAGGGGGGCAGGGCAAGGAGTCTATCAGTTTCGTGCCAATGCGAGGTTAGCAGCAGCTATGTGGAATTGCTTGATAAGTAGGATTTTGTTTTTTTATTAATTCTAAAAAACAGTCCATTCAAAACAAGAGTTATGTTGAATTAGCTTTTAACAGGAAGTAAAAAAGGCAAGAGAAATTATGAAACATAGCTCATGGGCCTATTACAATACAAAAGCAGTTGCATCATGGGCCCGCTCTACGCCTAAAACAAGTGCGACAAACCAAGTGTGTTAACACAACAATGGAGAATATACCTAGATCAACCGCAACATACGTAGCTTCGAATCATCAGAACCGGATTTTGTCGAGGCTCTCGAGGTTTGACGCCCCTGGGTTTCAGCCTACTTTGCCTAATGGTATATCCGGCCTGGGTCCGAATCCCATGAGTGACGTGACAAAGTGCCAGAGGATTGCTGGACTCCTCGCCGTCGCAGGGTGGTTCACGTAACGGCTTGTCGGTTGCGCCTTTTTCCGCCAACGGCTTGTATGGCCAAGTCATCGATATTTGTGGCGTTTCAAAGGATGATTTTTCGCGAATAAGAAGCAATTGACAAGTTTTTATGTCTATTTCGTTTTTTTAGTTTCAACCTATTCAATACAAACAACTCAACCAAACAGGCAAAATAATTGAATTAATACGATTGTTTTGATGTGAAAGGAAGTTTTCTGCGCTATCATACAAGAATAAACGAATATAAAATCCAGGCTAGAAGTAAAAAAAAAATCTTCGAGTTGCCGTCTTTCAAATTAAACCTCGAATTAATATTTTGTGGTGCAATTATTTACTTATATGTTTCTACAACTGTCATACTACTGTCAATAGTAGTCTTAAAATCAATATTTATTTACAAATTATTTTCCACAAAATTATTTAGCTCACCAAATGCTTGGATCGCGATAAATTGGAATATTTTTTAGGGGTCGCATCAAAATGTTTTGAGGACCCCTGGACTAGTCTACTAACTTATTCTAACAACAATTCAGTTCACTAACAATTCAGATACTAAATTTAGGATTTATTATAAATATATATGATAATTGATTTTTTTCCAAACCGTCTGTATGTCACGTGCTTATGGCGTGCCACATTAGGCGAGCGTGCCCAGTGTTGTGTACCCCTCCCTGACACAGTATATTTGCTCTCGTTTTGGAAAGATTTGCGCCGCAATTCAAACTACTATGACGATGTATTTTTTTGCTTTTTTTTCATGTCAATACTGAGTGATTTCAATAATACACGTTTCACAGTTTCTATACCATCACCGATTGAAAGCTACAGTGAGAGTAACTTTTTTTTAACTTACTAAATATTGAAGCACGACCCCTCGATAATATTTTAATAGAATCTGTATTTGTCATTAATCTTGGAAATTGTTTTATTTACCACATCAAAGTTTCATATTACACGAATTTATTTGATAACAATTTATTTCATGTAATTCAGGATACAAGTTTCTTTTTCATCCTACGCGCAGAGTGAAAGGTTTCACCGGTACTTATTTATTGCCAATTTTTTTGTAGATTCAAAATTAATGCATTAAGTTGATAGAAATGGTAGAGTTGAGATTGATTTCAAACAAAATAAGTGATTGGATAAGAGAGTAAGAGCTATAAATTGTTTTTCTCTAATAATATACTGATAAAAATTGTGCATTCTGCATGAATTTTGATTGTAGCCATTTTGTCGCTACAACTCATCTCTGTGCGCATAGCTCTCGTCTGCCTCTCCCGGTCGAATATATTTTTTTGTGACACGCTCCAATAGTTTTGGCGCCAACTTTCGGATGTCATCTTCAGTTAGATAATTCTTCTTTTTCAGATCCATTTGCCGGAATGCCGCATGTGGTGTTTGGCGTTTTTCTCTCGACTCTTCATTTCTTACTTTGTCGAAATATTTGAAAAATCTGAAATATATGACATGTCTTATAGCCGCTTTAATACTTTTCACAAGGACATATCGAAGGTGTACGTGAGTATGATTAGGAAATACCAGAGATGGCATTTCGATGGATGTGTCGTAGTTTATCTATAGTTATTGAAAAACAATCCGGAAAGCTAGAATAGCCAAAGCTCAATGTAGATTTCAGTTTATAGTTTTTGTGGGCTGTGGCCAACATATTTGGTTTGCTTCAGGTAAACTGATAAACCTTTTACCTTTCTCTTCTCAATTTATCACCGTCTCTTAGCAGGGAATATAAATGGTGTCGAAGTTTTTCCGGATCCGATGTAAAATTTTCCGAATTGATTACTCTTTGTCCCTGAAAGTAAATTAATATTTAGATTGGTATTTTTCAGGAAACAGATAGAAATGGGGTGATACAGTAATAGGACAGCTTGTTTGTCATAAAAAAAAGTAGTGAGATTTAGAATTTATCGCATGTCACATGATATAAATGGAAAGTCAAAATAATGATTATTAACATGTGTGGATTAATATTCGAAACATACTTGAAACCAACTGCTGTCGAAATATCAATAAATCTGTTGGTTTCACGGCAAAGATTAATAGAATCGTCAATATATGATGGTAAGAAGGGTGAATACACAAATCTCAGTCATAAAACGTAGAATTCAATTTATTTGAGGTAGACAGATAATCCGTTTAGAAAAGTTGAAACTGAATAAATTACATCTTCAAGTTTCCACATGAAATAAAGTTCATTCATTGTTGTGTATCGTTCTATATCCGCTTCTGCACATCCAGTGTCATTGAACTCTTTTTGTGGAGTCCATAAAGTAGAAAATGACAGACTCCTACCGTATGATCTCACTTGATGAAGATGACCTGTAACATGAAAGTTTCTTGACTATCTAATAAGTATCTAATTTTTACTAAGCTACAACCCGAAAATCAACTGTCAAGAAATAATGCGAGCATGTGTTTTTGAGAAATTGTCTAATATAACGCAAAATATTCTGATATATATATTATATTATAAACATAAGTGGGGATGGATTGATATGACATGCAACTATCTATGTATACGTCTTTTTCGTATCTTTGTGTTATTGCGTTCGCATGGCCTTAGTGTAAGTAAGTCGTGCTTTGCAGAATCATTACAAACCTGCAGGAATGAATACACAATCGCCTGGTTTCAATGTTGTCCAGGTCCAAGGGGTCTTTGAAATCTTTGGATGTTCATACATGTTAACCATCTCTGGATCTATTTTAGATTCTCCTCGTCCTTCCTGGTAATCGTGCTGAACAGAATAGATTTTGATTCGAACTTAATAATACACAGAGTGCAATATATATATAGACACCAGGTCAATATAAGATCCACTACATCTACACGGCGTTTGCTGAGCAAGGCCTTGTGTTCTTGTCTCAATTGATTTACGTAAATCCCGGTAGTGGCAAAGAAAATGATGGGTGAAAGAGCACGCCCACAAGGAAGAAAAAAGTCTCCAACGCGACGCATACATTTTTGAATGTTGGAAATTCAAAATCGATCTGCCCAATAGATGAAAAAAATGCTTTTTTGTTCCAACAATATCAACATAACAAACAACAACAATTTAGTAAAACTTTTCATAGGGGCACTTTGATCTATATTTATTTGTAAATACTACTATTTTTAATACCCACCTCAAAGTCAAAAATATCGACATGCTCTGGTTCATACAGAATAAAATCTTTTCTACCACTCACAAGACAGTGCATGTTATGATCAGGATCGTAATGAAGCTTTGTGCTCGTACCTCCAGCGCTCATCCAAATCTCCACTTCCTTGAAAAATAAGGCAAATATGTTTTGTTTTGCTTCAAAGTATATCATTAATATTCATGCAATTCACACCACGACATTTGCCGATATCGAATCAGCATTGCAAACGTCTCAATCTGGCCAATTAAGTGATCTGTTAATTCCAACAATAACATTTATATGTATTATCCCAGTCGTGTGTTTCCCAAGCCATTATCTTGTACTCACTTGCAAAAACTTTTTGAATGATCCACAGAGTAGAGATGGAACAGCTGGTATTGCATGCAGCATTTCATCTGGCACTGGACTGACAAGATACCAATCTTCCATATTATATCTGAATTGATTTCATAGAAAATACGAATAATCTTATGCTACCAAGTTCATTCAATCAATAAAGAAATGATATATAAACGCGTTTAATGATTACAAGCCTAATGTATTTTATGGAACCTCTCATCCCAAATGGAAGGTGCGTTGTGAATAATAAATCTATTTTCTGATGGGAAATGTACAAAATGTTTGAATTGAAAAAAAGTTTGAATAAACTCTTACCTTTTAAGAAATTTCTTCAATTTCATCAGCTGAGGTTCAAATACACTTCCTGGTTTTTTTGTAGTAACATCCACCATAATTTCACCATATTCTGATTTCAAATAATTGTCATCCCAGGTTGTAAAAATTTCAGCACTTTGGTTGTATCCGTCTCTAAATTGTGTAAGATATTACATTGTTGAAAAAAGGTTGTCAAGGCTGCCAAAAAAGAGATGACATACAGAAGTTCTGTCAAAGTACGACATATTTATTATACAATTAACGCTTACTTTAAAACAAGAGGAGTTTTTGACTTGACATGTGTTTCCCAGAAAGTTTTCGGATCAATTACTTCAGTATATTCCTTCACTTTACCTTGTGGAGTTCTTTGCCATCCTGAAATGAAGATATTTTATGATAGTTTGCTCAAGACAATGCCACAATTCACAAGGACTAAATCGTTTAAAAACAAAAACGAAAAAAATTTTCATCAGATAAAAAGTAAATATAAAAAAGACTTGAGTGCGCATAAAAAATATATATCACCTTGTGCTTTTGCATGACATGAGGAATTACAATGTAATTAATCTGAAATTTTTCAGTTTTACCGTTTATAAGATGGTAGAATACAATAATCTACTAAAAGTCAAACTAGTATAATATGAAAACAGTATTTTGAAACACAAGAAACAAAGTTACGAGGGTTTGCATGGGAATTTATTAGAAATTAGTGAAAAAGCTAACATTTTTTTAACAATATTCATAGATTTGGCGAAATTATAAAATTGCAACGAAGTTTAATATATTGTATTAGTAAACGCACGGATCATTTCCAAGCGATCCGAAATCGACAGCATAACAGTATGAAGAAAAAGTAAGAAAAGGAATACGTTAATCAACATCGACGAATTTTAGAAAATATGATGTCAAGCATGCAGAAATTGTTTAAGGTAAATTGATAAAATAAAATAAATAGAAAACAAATAAAAATTGATTCATATGTGTTTGAACGGTGAACAGTAAATATAATAGATTTGTCATAAGTTTTGTATACAAGCATGGCACAAAAACGAAACTAAACTATTTGTGTTGTATGTCAGTTGTATGAAAAATTCGAATTATATAGATTTCATCCATTCTATAATGGTGCCGAAAGAGTATTAACTTATATCATGTGATGTATCAAAACTTATTTTCAGAGAGAAGGGCACACTCTATTAAGTTAATAGAAAAATATATATCAGTTAGAACAAACTGCAGATACATAATATTATAACTGTATTTTGTATTGAATTACAAAATCGGAAGGACATGCTGGACAACGAACAACCTATTTTCATGGCAATTGCTTTGATGCGTGTGTATAATGTGATATATTCCAGTTTTATCTTTATTCGTTTGTTGAGAAAACAAATAAATGATTTTCCCGAATAGCATAGCCTAATTGGTTATATCATTTAATGCCTCTATGGCTAATGAAAACATACATATATAAAAGACTTATACACTCACCCATTTACAAAAAATAATACTGACGAGCATGTAACGTAAATGCCATTTCCAAAACAAATGGGAAAGGGATCCAAACACATTTGTTCAATTTGACTCAGTCCAAATCAGTTAGTAGTCCTACATTACAAAAGTGGCAAAGCATTTTAAACAGTGAACAACATATTGTTTTAGAAATCGATTTGGTGCGTGCATCCGCATACTAGGGTAATTTCTACAATCTACCATAATCTGTTTGTTGAGAAAACAAACTTTCCCCGAGATGCGTAAGCGATAATATGATATATTATTATTATATATTATGAGATCGTTGAAAATATCGCAATAATTGTTCATATTTGACGTCTTTTGCAGTTCTAAACGTAGAAATCTCGCTTCAACTATAAGTGTAGCTTCTTCGAGTATGATGAATGCACGTATTAAAACGAAATCGACTTAAAACTGAATCTTGATTTTTAGCGTCATTTCACGGTTCAACACTCTTGAGTTATTATACCAAACGATCTAACGGAAACGATCTTCTGATCTTAAAATTATTCCTATGATCGAAATCAGAGATAAACCTGACTTCATGATAAAGAATTGGCAGAAAGAATGATACGCAAATTAAAGAATGGTGTCAAAAATATTCATTTTGAAGTATTGCAACTTCAAATCTGGACCGCATTTTGATATTTCGACACTAGCTCATTACATCACAAATCCCTTTCGAGAGTAAATTTATTTTTACACTGAAATAAAACCTGGCCATACATTTTTTACATCACGGGTTCCGGGAAGTAAATATAAAATTCCAATAGCCACTCTATCTCTTCTTTTCACATGATGTCAGCAGCAAACGAATACGTCACTGCGTACCATTTATGAATTTTCTGCAGGTTAAACGAAAAAGTCTCTCATATTTTAGTAACTCGCCTATATAAGCCGCAAGCAAAAAGAATGCTTTTCATTTTTTACTGATATCGTAGAAAAATCATGTCCGCGTTATACACAATTTCAGTTTTGTTCGCAGTAGCAGTTTTTAAATCTCAATGTCAATCATCGTGCGACTTGAATTCATGTCGATTACAAGTGGTTTGTGACAGTGATGGCACAGGGCATACTAGGAACTCAGAAAGTGAGTATTGAACTTGTAGTAAGTATATGCACAATTTTTCACTTGAAATACAATATAGATAAAAAAAATTTGATGTTGCAGAATGTCCACAGACCGCCTACAATTTTCCTGGGGGTAAACAAACAACAGATTTTATTCGCGTCAAGTCTCCAATACCACAGATGCGTGAATTCTCTATATGTGCATGGATGACACCGAAATCTGGTTCGAACGTGAAGGGTGCTTTTGTGAGTTACTCCACACCGAGAATGGACAATGCGTTTCTGGTGTTTTTTGAGGACGGTAATAAATTGACCTTGTGGTACAATCAAGTCAATAGTGGGGATACTACCGATTTCCGGATGACGACTAGAACGCATTTTTGCATAAGTTTGGAAACATTTCTTGGAACAGCAAAGATCTATGTCAACGGAGCACTTTTTCAAACACGTACATTTGCCAACCAACGAAACGAAATAGAAGGTGGAGGTGCTTTCATAATAGGACAAGAACAAGATAGTTATGTGGGCGGCTTTGATGGCAGCCAGTCGTTCGCTGGAGTGATTGAAAATTTTATGATGTGGAATCGAGCTCTCAGTCCAGAAGAGATAACAACCTTGTATCAGGGCCGATGTTTGTGTCCAAAATACCACATGTTGCATCTAGCACTTCATGAAATTCAAGTGTATGGAAAGGTGACCGCACAGGAAGTAGATGGTTGTCATTGATCTAAGCCTAAACAGACAGCAACGCCATACGTTACAAATTGAGACCGGTGTTTAATTCGATTCAACAACATTCATTCTAAGCTTAAATAGTGTTTAACATTTCTGTGCATAACATTAAATGTTATTTTGTAAAATATAATGTAATTAGATTCCGGGTGGACAGTTTAAATTCATCCTCGAACCAACATTTTTGAACACGAATAAAACTCATTTGAAAATTTTATTTTTATTATTATTTGTGGACATCATTTTTTGAGCAAGATTTGGACATGTAGACTGTCCTAAAAAAAACTTTGTTGATAGGTAAAAGATATATATATATCTGCAGATCCTGTTACCACTGCAATTGTATTTTTTATTCAAAATATACGAGAGGCGGATCAAGTTTTGTTTTGTCTGTAGCAGACCAGACTGGTGATAATGGGCATATGAGAGAGTGTTTAAAATAATAAGAAGAGCAGTGAATTTTATATGAAATATGTGAACGTTACTCTATATAGCAAGGGTTTTTCACCGGGGTACCACGAAACCCTCAGGTTCCGCCAGTGCAGTCTTAGGGTTCTGCAAGTTTACATTCAAATCCGAGTGTCAATACGAATATATGTATTATTCAAATATAATGAAATACATATTACAGGGTGGTCCAAACTCAGGCCCGCGGCTTCATTATCTGTGACCCGCGTCGCATTTGCGGTAGGGTGGTCAAAAGCTGAAGCAACTAGCGAAGATGAAGTAGTGTCGGAGACAATCTAAAACGGCATTTTTTCTTTATGTCACTTTCTCCGTTATGAAGAATTTGAAATCTTACACTAAATGTAAATATATGCACGTTTTAATGAGTTTTTATGGTGGTTTTAGTTAGATAAATGCAAATAATGATCAATGTGTTTGGACAATAAAAATGAAATGTTTTGTATTGCACTGTTTACCTATTCCTCGCACTATTGTGGCCCGCGAATAATACAAAAATGATAATGTAGTCCGCGAGGCCGCAGACCACCCTGACCTATTAAGTTTTCCACTATTAATAACCTTGCCATACTTTAAAAATCATTTTGTTTTGCCACTATTGCACAGCGGTTTCCCGAGCCTCTGGAATGTTCAACTGGAGTTGAGCTTCACCAAAAGGATTAAAAACAACTGCTCCATGATCTCGATATAGGGCGCTTGGACGGTACATGTCTTAGTACCTTCAGTGGCGGTAGCCTCCATTTAATGACATAAAAAATTTAGCCTTAGAAAAATTGACAATTACACATGACAGACAAACAACAAAATTATAACAACAAAAACTATACTGTATTTGCATTGCGCATAACCAGAATTTAGGTTTTGTAATGCCATGAGCTCCCGTTGATATAAATTCATTTTGTCTTGAAGGAAATGGTGAAAAAGGGTAATGTGCGGCTCTTTCTATCATGTATCCGTGGATCAGATTCAAATAACTTGTTAACTTTTCCCATACCCGACATGGACTAGAACCCGACGGGGGGCCATGGTTTGCCATATGAATAGACCGTCATATCGGCTTTTCTCTCCATCGAGATAAATATGAAAAATTCTATCCTATCCTACAAAACAACAACTAGAAGTTTAGTTTTAAATCTTTCAGTGTTCTTTGTTCAGAAAGCTTTTTGGTGGGTTTGTTATTATGCCCGCGGGTTGTAAAATTCTTTTTAACATTCTTCAGATATAATCTCACGAATTGGGGATCGGAAATTCCCTCAATATGTGCTGGTTATGTAATTTATTTCAATAGTTCGCGGTATTTACCGGTGAAATACATTACGGTTAGATCAAACTCACGAAAATCCCGCAGTATTTGCCATCCGAATGTATTACATATATTATTTTCGTGTTCTCAAACAAAAATACAGATTACTCACGAAAATCCCGCAGTATGTGCCATCCGAATGTATTACATATATTATTTTCGTGTTCTCAAACAAAAATACAGATTACTCACGAAAATCCCGCAGTATGTGCCATCCGAATGTATTACATATATTATTTTCGTGTTCTCAAACAAAAATACAGATTTCCAACTAAAATGTCGTCATTAAATTTTTGCAATAAGTCAAATGTTATTCACTTCCATTCACTCAACTGCCTATTGAAGGTGCAAACATTTTATTTTGTTTAATGTTATGTACATGTATTAACGGTTCATTAGCTTCCGCGATTTTCCGCCGCCAACAAAACCGTAGATTTTGTATTTTTATTTAACATTATTGCTTATCAACGATTGAACGCATGACCAAAAGGTTAGAATAGCGCTGGGAGTCGACTCAAAACCGTTCAAAATTTACGTTTTTTTTAAAGCATTAGGTAAATTCAAACCCTTCGAATGCAAAATTACTTGCAAAATTGTCAATTATTATTTGATTGTGGTCAAATAGAAATATTTAAATATCTTGTGGCCAATATAAAATATCTCGTATGTTATTATATCTCACCCAAAGGTCGTAAATGTCCGTCTGGTAATCCGGTAGCGGACTTTCTACTTCTTGGTGGAAAGACTAGATCCAATGATTGATCCTTGGGAAACAGAACTTCAGCATCCACGTTCAAAATAACTACGAAACCAGCTATCAAAATTTGCAAGTGGATATGATACATGACGATTGAAACCTATTTGAAAATATGTGATAATATCAAAGTTATCAGTGTCAGTTATTATTTACCAGTTACAAAATATATAACTTCCCGAAACTTTTATCAAACAGGATTATTCTCCGACTGATGCACTAAGTTGCAATCGAAGAATTTTATGCATGAAATTTTTACGGACTCGGCTCGTTAGATTTCTCCGATCCTCACGTTTAAGGCTTTTAACATTACCATGACGTGACAGCAATTTAAATTTTTGAATGGCACACAAACTAACCCGGGAATTTTGCTAAACCAAGCTCTTTCCAGTGTTAAACCCGCCTACATGGGATCATTGCTTCAATACTATATACTGTGATCTTAACCTCCGATTAATTTGTAGAATACCCAATGTTGCCTACTTCTGGAATCTCAGCATTAATCGTAAAATGCTTTCAATATTTCTGACCATTCGCCAAAATGTCATAACCTGTTGTTACTAACTTTTTATATATTATTCAACAGAGTTATCCGTATTTACTGAAACATCTTTATATCAAATATCCTGTTACACAATAACGTGTATGTTATGTGCTAAAAACCAAGTCCGTCTATACTATGTAGTAATGAGATATTGTTTACTTTGCTACCTTTTTGGTTGGGCTCGAGAAAGTTTATTCAATATCCTTTTGTACTGTTGGCGACGTGGAATCATATCTTTGGCGACAATACCCTCGAAATGTCACGCTATAGCGAAAAAGACACGTAGAAAATCGATGATCAAGTGCTCTCGTCATATATAAATCATACATTACAAATACCGTCGCGAAAATAGGACGCTTACGCTATAAGTTTGATTTCGTGAAACATTGAAATATCGCGATAAAGTACATTGTAGTTGTCGCCCTATCGACTTTCATTTGGCACATAGCATGCTGAATTAAATTACGTACCGGATTACTTAGCATGGTAACGAGTTCATCGAACTGCAAACAAAATAAAATATTCCTCTCTTCAGTTGGTGGGAAGATTAAATCGAAAGTCGGGCTTCCTGTAATAAAATATGCCAACAAAGATGACCTGCTGGTTTATGATCTTCTATTGTACATAAAATTCTCGCAAATCAAGCTCATTACATATGCATGCACGAGGTCAACAAAAATTACTTAGCTCAATATACACCAATCCTATTTGTATAAAATTTCGTGAATCAATTAAAGTCAACTTGACACTGCAAATTGTTATTCGATCAGCACCAAACTTGGTCGGTTTTCTGTTGAATTGATATTCTAACGACTTCTGTGGTTTGTAACATTCTTAACACAACATCAGTGAAGTATTAATCGTTGATGTTCTTACTTTATTGAAAAACATTCATTTGCCAAAAAAGTGAATAGTTTGGAAGAATCTAGGGTTGCATGTGTTTAAGGGGTCATACTAATGCCGGCAACAAATCTGTGTACGAACAACCATTTGACTTTAGAATTCATGAAATTAAGTAACCAAAAATTTCACGGCCGAATATATATATCTGTGTGAGGTCTGGACATATGTGACGTCGGCCGATGATTCGATCCACTGACATTTGAAATCGCACGCATTGTGGTTCCCAAACTATGAGGAACCAGTGTCAGTTTTGGGAGGCATGGGGCACAAAACCTCGCGTTGAAAAACTCAATTTAAGTATTCTACTTGTCGAACATAAAGATTCTGTCATGTGCCGTCCAAAAACATTCTCTCTTTACTCGGGTAAATAAATAAGGAGATCTAATAGATTACGTATAAAATAAAACCACAAACGAGCTCCAATCATATTACAGGCATAGGCATTGATCAAATCTATCGTTACGTAAGCGGACGAGTATGTAAAATACCGGACAACATATTTTTCTTGGAATCACTATCTTGCGTGTATCTTTCTATCTACATGCAGGGGAATTTCCAAAAGGCACCGTATCTGTTTGTTGTGAAAAGATGAACCAATAAGATAACTATATACGCGCATCCATGAGAAAATCTCGTGCGCCTTAAATTCCAAGATATAATTATATTACAGCCGCGATAAAAGTGCCTGATAAAGGGCATAAACAGTCACATTCATATCGATTTATTAAATATAAAGTACATATATATTCGATCGACTCAAGGAGTCATTTTAGTTTAATTAATTTTTCTCCTGAAAAGATAATCAATTTTGTTCGGAGCAAAGCTCATCACCAACTTAACAGAACGAAGGACTTTAGAATCTTTCCATGGTAACTGCTAAGATGATAGCTGTAAAATTATACTATGACATTGATTCTTTCATTGGTTGGTTCATTTAATCAGAGCATAAGGTAATCTATATATTTTCACGAATAATCACTGTCCAAACTCAAAACCACGATTCTTCACCGTTTATCCAATACTTGATTGAATACAATTGTCAAATTTCATGCGCAATTATCATTTATCGAAAGAGAGATTTAAATGTATATCAAAATAGCAAATAGAACACGAACACATATTATTTTGATATTTAGTAGTGAGTGAGTATTTTTGCAAGTGAATAAAACTTAAACTATCTTTAGGAAATGAAACTTTTTTGAGATGGATTGGTCTGGCAGCTGGAGAGAAAGGCGGTGTTTTTCATAACAACTACAATCAACCAAGCAACAATAACGATTAAGCAAAACGATCGAACGAAACAAACGAAAATATTTTTGAAAAACAAAAAGTCTATTCTCAGGGTGACAAAGGATCGCAGCAATTAAATAACATGCTTCAATGACCAGAAACAATAAAGCAATGATCAAATATATACCACGAAAGTCAAAACAATTTTTTTCCACAAAAATCTCATTCTCAATGATGCTGGAACTGTGGAAAAGAATGGCTTACTTTGCCACTACCAGTAGCCTACTAGCTTTAGCACCGGATCTCTGAAATGCTATCGCGGTGACGTCACGCGGTTCGCATTGTTCACTTTCGATTACGTCATCACACAACTTCAAAGTTAGGAAACAAATCAAATAGAGGCCAGAGTCCACCGAAATTTTTGAAATGAAATAAAAGTAGCCTAATAGCCTTCTAGTGGTAACAACACTCTTCAAATCAATTGGTCTTATAAGGGCAAGAGAAGAGTGATTTTTACCACTACTGCAATAACAACAAGATGAATAAGGGAATAACAACACCAACAATTTAATAAAACGATCCGTAGGTTCACTTCTATACTCTAAACTAGCGTTTCCTAAACTGTCTTCCGCGGCACACTAGTGTGCGCAAGAGAATCTCAGGTGTGCCACGGAGCCTTTTGGAATTTTAGAAAATGAAAATACGGTCTTCGTATTACACATAGGCACGCATGCAACGGGCAAGCTTGTAAGATTTGAGTATCCAGGGTTAAACTGGCAATATTTCTGCATTTGGCTTATCCTTGTAGTAAGTGTGATTGTTACGTTGTAATTGTATTGCATGTCATAATGTATTTGTAAACAATACTAACACCTTCTAAACTGTCAACGTCTGCGCTTAGTTAGGCTAAAAAGAAAGCGAGTTTTGTCTATTTGGTTACAAATTCTATTTATTCATCGGTGCAAAATCCTTCAAAATAATCTAGCCATTTGCATCTTCATGGCTCAGTAAACCCGGATTTCCTGCTATGACTGAAAATGAAAGCGATAAAGGGAGCGATGGAACCATTGACCTTGATGCCTACTAATTGCGCAAGTTTGAGAAGCACCGCTTCTGAAGCGGTGTTAGTACCGGCAAGTCAATTGAAAAGACAGCGTTGAGAATATGCCTGCATCCAATAAATATGATGACAAAAATGCAACGATTTTCATTGTTAACTTTTCGGAACCTATTGATTCTGCATATGACTGGCATTTCGATTATTTGACGATGAAGATAATAGAATGCATCTTTGCGTTACTCTGCTTCGTTTTATTTGTTGCTCAGCTGACATATTTCGTTTTACAAAAACGTATTGATGAGAAGAAAGGGAAAGAGACCGCCGCGCCAAACCATAGAACAAAATGTCGAACGAAAAATGCTATGAACGTTTGTTTGTTTTTGGCTTGTCTTGCTGCATGTGGAAGGGGAATCGTATCTTTTTTACCGAAAGCAACAGATGACCATACCTGCAATACTCAAAGAAAAGCAATGATGTTATTATTTTATGCTTGTGAAACTTTAACGTATCTTGTGCTTTGGATCAAGCAAAGAACGCTATACTCCGAACCTATACTGAAGCATTTGTCGCCGAAATTCATTCGCTTTTGTAGTTGGTTTGTACTCATAGTAATGATTGCTTGTCTATTCTTGGCAATAATTTTAGTGACCGTATTTCATCATTATGAGGCAACAATGCACGGATGTGTTGCGACTCCTTGGATGATTGTAGTTGAATATGGATTCGTCATATCGTTTTCTGTCTGGTGTTTCTTTCTGCTTACCCCCTTATCAAACAGTTATACGATAACAGGAGTAGTGAGGAGTTGCGACTGTTGTATGTGTTGCGAGTGAAGCATTAAGTGCATTATTTTCGATGTTAGATCCTCGACAAGAAGTTGAAATATTTTCCTTCGTATATTACATTAATGTTTTAAATAATATATTTGGCATATTATTTTCTTTTACCGATTGGAGACATAGGCTTTTACCTTTGAGTTTACCAGCAAAGGAAACAAGGTGCGAAATCTATCACGTGAATGATCACAGTGGGTCATCATAAATATAAATATTCATTTTTCAGTGATCGATCTATCTGTATTACATACTTGGTTGTGATTTTTTTTCGTCATGAAATGTGTTAATAAATTACGAAAATAATCCATACTAAAACTAATTCTTCGAGGCTTTTGGACGTCCGACAAAACCAACAAAATTCAAGACAGGAAGAAGATATATATATTGCGCTAAGGAGATTTTGTAGTATGTGCGATTCACGACTGATCAAACATATGCTGATGTTATGTTTGAAATTTTGTTTTAAGATGGTCATTTAGCCAACCATGGCGCATATATCGTTATTGCCCAAAATAGTTCCGTCAATAGAGACTGTGGAGACGAATTTTGATTACATTTGAATAATTTTATTTGATTGCAAAACCATACAATAGTTTTTCCTGTCAAAAAAATAATTTCCTCTCATCTCGATGGTGTATTACACGTCAGTGTTTATGAAATATATGTATATAACAAATATATATATATATATATATATATAATGATGAATAAAGAAAATATTAATTCTGAGTCAAGCTGAATTATGACTAGAGACCGTCGTTTATTCGGAAAACTGTATACCAGATCAAAACCAGAATGTTTTGTATTTTAAAATTGATATCTATCCACTAATTTGAGTTATTCTTATTTTTATTGGTTACATATTGCACAAACATCAACATGAATTTAATATTGGATTCCGAGAGAACACAGACTGGCTACAATAATTAGCAACAAGCTTCCCTATTTAGTTTTTCCACATTTACTCTAATTCACTCTTCGTCATCCGCCTTCCTAAAACTTTGTGGGTTGCTGGAGTGTAAGTCAAAGAAGATATCTATAAATTTCAACCAAAGCCAAATTTCCAAGTCCACGTAAAATTTCTTTTTTGATAGTTGCAAAACGTGCAGTTTGAAAAAATGACGATTAGACTCATGTAACGCCAAAAATACATCAATCAACAGAATTTTGCACTTTACATAAAATTCGTAATGAACAACGAATTTTATGAAATGTTGATAAATTAGGGTTTTTCCTTTTTTGCATCTTACTCATCAAAATTTAGGTCACTTGTTGTATTTATTAAATTGAAGCCGAATGTAGTAGGAATTACCCTATCTTTGTAGTAAGTGTGATTATTACGTCATAATTGCATGTACGTTATAATGTATTTGTAATCAAGACGTCCACCTTTCAACATGCGGACATGTGAGCTTTAGGCTAACAGGAAAGCAAGTTTGGATGAGTTTTGTTTATTTGCTTATAAACTCTATTCAATCATCAATGCATAATCTATGAAAATAATCTCGCCATTTGCATCTTCAGGGCTCAGTGAACGCAGATTCCCTGCTTTGACCGAAATAAAACATATTTTCCTTTATTCAATTAGTCCACCTCGAACAAAAAAGTTGCTCTAAACTCTATCTCTACTATAGTAAATGTTATGAATCATACCTCAAACCCTAAGTTCAAAGTGTTACAAAGAATTCATATAAAAACCCTCATATATTTTGCGAATAATCCCCGGATGCGTATTAATTTGCATTATGTCCAGATAGGATAGGATTTACATATTCATTCCCTGAAAAGGTAAGCCGATGAGACGGAATAATTATATGGCGAACCACGGCCTCTCGTCCGGTTGTCAGTCTATGTCGGGTATGGGATTAGTTAGCCAGTTATTTGTATTCAGATGCAAGGGCTTCATGGTGGAGGAAGCCGTAACCGACCAGCGGTCACGTGAACTACCCTACGACGACGATGAGTTCGGTAATGCTCTCGCATATAATCTGTGCTGCTGTGAAGCCACTACCCTTAAAAACAATACCCATGATGCTATCAGGATACTATTGACCCATGACTATCTTAACTTGACACACTTTTCATGAATTTCTGAACGCTGGTCATCAGCCGCGGTGCACGTTACCAATTTTCCGCGGTCGACAAGCGTCTGAAACAGGAAGGCAAAAATCGGATTGTCGTCTGACTGTCGATATCACGAAAGCCCAAGAACCCTCGGAATCCCACTGCTGCTGCACTTGAGCGACAGCACATAACGAGACTGTTCAATCACTTGAAAGGGTGCGTATATTCTCATAGAACCAATCACAGTATGCCATTGTCATTTTTAAGTCAGAGAACCCGTTGCTTTTTTGCCATTGTCCAACCCGCAACCAGCATTGTTGATAGTTAGTAGAGGGTCATTTCATAGCTTACATTTTCCTACATATACGCCATTTTCATTCCCCGTCAGTACTCTTTGAAATTAAACCCCATAGGTAGCTTTGTGTATTTTGTATTTCACAAAAAGGCGACATTGGTAAAATCAAAGAAAATATTCACAGAATTTGCCTTGACAAATTTTTTCATCAACACTTTTATATCATCTCATATAACTCGGCCATATTCAGTAGGTGAAAAATGAATTATTACAAGGTTCAACACCAAAGTACAGCTTAATATTGTCTGAATAGTGATTATTATACTAGACATAACAGCTAACCAAAGATGTGCCCTGCAAAAAGTACATCAAGTAGGATATTTATACATGACCCTGTTTAATTTAACAAAAATATTACATGGAATAGTAAAGTAATAACAAAATAGGCAATACATGGAATAATCTCAAATGGCTATATCTTGATAAGTTAAATTATTTGAGCATCATATCTGAAATTTCAGTCAATATGCCCAGGATATAAGATATTACAGTACATGGATCTTAGATGTTAGGATGCCGTGACCAACTATGAGTCAACCAACAATTGTGTCATAAAGTGCGTTCAATATATTACTCCATGTCAGATACATTTCGATGAACCGGTAAGCAATTTAGTCCATATAATGCACAATATTTCCAGCATGGATTCAATAATACTTAGAAATAATTATAGTACGTATAACAAGATAAAATATTGCAAGTTAAACTCCAAAGTGTGTGAAATTGCGAATAAAAAGATGTCAACCAAAAGCCACAACTATAATATGTCATCATATTTTTTCTTTACTCAATGAAAAACACAGCTACAGCAACATGAGAGGAAGCAAATTTATAACGAAGAAGTTCAGTTTTCTAACTTTCTAAACAGATTCCAAAATTCAAGATTCTCTGAATACGTGGACGTTTAAGTCACAAAACCATTTAAATTTTTATAATTTATGTGCCAAATGAAACTTTTAACCAGAATACCTTTGTTTTGACCCAAATTTGTGTGAACCTAATAAAGACAAGCTATGAATAAATAAAAACATACATAAAGAGCGCTTATATTTTATTGACTGGATTCACTAACTTTAACAAAGAAAATCAAAATTTTGGAAAAGCCAAAAATATAACCTCTTCTTCTTTGTAGAGAAATAAATATAAATACAACATAAACTAAATTGGCAAGATTCAGCTGCAATCAAGCTATATCAAATCAATATAGCAATCAATCATCACATAAAATATTCAATAGATGATCCATCCATATATATTATGTCTTATATGTATGATACATCTCTAAACGCCATATGTGGTAAATGGCAATAATAAAGTGGTGATCAAGTTCATCAAGACAGACAAAAACAAAAAAAGATTGAAGTCAAAAAAAAAAAAAACTGAGCAATAATATGCTAAATTCGGAATGGTAATGTCATGATAATGCTTTCATTGATAAATATGTTGTTATCACAGCGAAAATAGTTTGTTAAAAAGACATTTTTTGCATCAAAAATGAAATGATACAACTTTTAAATAAAGCTGATCAATCCACTTTTCATGCATTGAAACAGTATTTGCAATGTAGTACGTATTGTGTCCGAAAAATATTAACAAATATCTCAAATGTTGGAAATTGCACCATCCGTTAAATAGAAAAAATGTGAATAAGTAAATCCATAATCATACGTTGCAAGTTAGTGGGTGAGAATTCCGAAAATATTATACATTACATGAATCGAAGAATTGCTATAGAATGAAACCACAGCCCTGTAATTGAAATGTTATATTTTTATGTCACAATTGCATCTTTTACTAGTCTTACCAATTACAACCAAAATTTTCTTTACAATGACAAAAAAGTATAAATCCTTCCCAAAACAATAATAAAATAGCAAGGATAGATAAAATCAATAAAAATGGCAAATTTTGCTCGTGTTTCACCTATGAAGTAAATATAGTATTGATAATAATATTCACATTTTACCCACCAATGCATGCAAGTTTTGCGAAAATCAATAAATTTATTTCGTCTCAAAAATTCATTTTCACCCTAAAGTGACTTTATTGACGCCATGTATTTCTGGGAATTAGTTAGCTCATATGTGGAAATTTCTGTTTGGAATGCCCTTCAACAGATCTAATTCACATAGAATGAATTGTATATGTCAAATTATCGAAAATTTAATTCAAGAGTTTGTGGTGATTTTGAGAAGAGAAGTAGTGATTTTCACTATCCAAATCATTATGAGGTCTTCTCAGATTGTGTTACCCGTCAATTCATTTTAAACTGAACACTCGTTTGCAAGAATTCAAAAAGATAGTAAAATCAAAATGCAAATACACTATCGAATATAATATACACCATCTGCACTGATGGTGTTGGGTTGGTATAAAACAATACCATTTCTGAGTGAAAGCGTTGTAAACGTCCAGTCAATAATATTTTATGGTTAGAAGGACTATTCAGTATTAAGCAGAAATAATGAAGTCACACTGATTAAAGTCAATTTGAAATTATATGCATAACATTGTTTTATTTGAAATTTCAGTTTTTAGTTCTCCATTTTCAGCCATCCATAGCAGCAAACAGTCGTTTCAATTCTGGAGTGACAACTTCACTTGTAAAGTTTTCTATGGACATTGCATTGGGAGCATTCTGAAAAATTAATAAATTTAATTGCAATGAAAAGAATTGGGATGGATACGTTTTTCCAGAAACCAAAAAAACTACAATAAACTAATATTGTAGGACCAACTCAATCATAAACGATTAAATATCAATATGTTAATCAGATTATATAAGAATCTTTTGAAAATCTCCGGAAAGAGCATTGTACATCATATTCCAGATATATTGCAAAAAATACAATGAGTCAATAAATGCAGAATAATAGTAAAATTATAATACCGTTTCCGAAGGATTTAAAACTCGTGGAATATTTTAAGTACGGTACAGTAGATTCACACACAACATGTGAAAAATTTATTTGCCCTTAGAGGAAACACAAATTTACCGCCCCTCCTGTGGCTTTGTTACAAACTATAAAGCATCACCACCAAATCTTATTACTTGTAAACAAGTAATAATTACAAATTAATAACAAGTAATGAAACAATGATTACAAGTGTGTGGTAAACCAAAACATTCACAATATGAATTAGAAACCAGTTTCTAAGTAGGCCTAATCATTAAGCACTTCTAAGCATAACAGCAGAGGTTAGAAAAATTAGACAGTGAGTATGATAAATCAAACCAGGGTTGTTTAATTTTTTCTAAAAATTTCAAATATTCTAAATATGAGGAATTACCATCAGGCCATCTTGAAACTAACCTGAGCATCTGCCGGGCTAGAACTCTGTTTAGAATCTTCGCTGTTTGTCATTCCTTCATCATCAACACTGTTGTTTAATTCTTCTGTATTTCCTTCACCATTACCGGTATTACTACTAGTAACTGACATATCTAGACCATTCTGTGGTGAATTACCATGCTCTAGTTGCTGATTTTCCGATGGTGAACTATCGATTGCTGCATTATGAGATGGTGATTCTCTTGGTTCGTTAAAAACTTCCTGCACTTTTGTAACCGTTTGTGTCATGTCTGTGTAAAAAATATTATTAAAAAGGATATTTCAACGACATATTAAATATCTGTTGAAACTAAGTTTGGTTTTATTATGATGGGAATTATCATTACACTGTTTGAAAAGCAGAAACGCTACATCAAAAAAATGCATGAATATGCCGACCGACGAAAGACCACTTAGAATTTTCAGATACAGGGTGAACAATAAAAGACAGAACTAATGTCATGGAAATGGAATATATTCTAGAGAGAACTTTTGTGCAAAGTGTCCTAGATTACTGAAACTTTTGGATACCATCATACACAGAAGTTCAAGTGTCAATAAATTTTCTTCATTTTCATAGAAGTAATGAAGAAATTGATGGGTTTCGTATTTTAGGGGTTCACCCTGTATATTTAGCTCATTTTTCAAAAAATGACTTACCTTTGCTGGAAAGATTAAGTGCAACAGGTGAACCAGCTGCATTTGAGTACGAATTATCTTGCTCATTTTCACCGCGTTGGGAAGCAGCAAATGCCAGTCTTTCACTTATAGAATCCAATGCACTCCCACTATTCAGTTTGTTCAAAAGTATTGGATTACTGTAAAAAAGAATGTAAATTATCATAAAATTAAAAATAAAATGCTCTTTGCAAAGTGGTTATTGCCAGAGTGAACAAACAATAAAGAAAGAATCCAACTGGTGAAAGTTTAGCTATATGTAAATATACTTATGCAATGTATATATACTAAGTTGAGAGTAAAAAGTTTTGCATTATCAAATGACATCAAGCACAATAGTATATAGATTCAGATTTCAAATGCAAACGTAGCCAAATACATAACCATAGATTATATGTAAGATTAATCGATACATAAAGCATATGGAAAAAAATTTATGGTATTTTCATTCTGATATCTTAGCATCTAACACAGTCTAGTCTCTTGATTCCTGCTAACTAGCTTTGAGCAACCTAAATGCCATACCGTATGCAAGTGGCATTGACAATAATTTGAAGCGATGGTAATACAATAAAACAGTGCTCCGCCGACGATTTGCTAAGTGCACCACAAAAATTAACACAATTGTGTTAAACATAACTAATATATGATTGAATAATTCCCATATTGTAAGTATTATGAATGTTTTATTGTTTCTTATTTTAAAGGCTACGTGTATGAATAAATAAATTCTATGTAGTCTAACCTTTCTATGTCGTTTATTTTCTGTTACAATCAAAAAATTAAGTTTTATTTAAAGGCAGCAATTTTTTTTTTTCATGTAAGTTCGCCGTGAGTTTTTCCCTGATAATTTGGCGCCACACGAATAAAAGTTTGGGATCCGCTTAAAAAGAACATTAAATGCTGTGTAGCTATTTACCTTCCAATGAGATCTCTTTCTGCAACTTTATTATCTTGGACTGAATTTGATTCATTTGCTTGTTGTTGTTGATTGTAAGACACCAACATCATCTTCGACATACTGTATGCATCGGATGGTGCTGCTTTTCTAGGCCTACAGAAAACAATTTCGGCTTGAGTTAAACTGGGTTGGAAATGACTTGAATATGATCCATTATTGTAATTTCGGTTCTATGACTTTTCGTAGAGAGATAAAAGTTGTACCAGTTCTCAATATCTGGTAAGGTTATTAATATTAATAAAATATAATAGACATATTTTTTCTGGAAGAATAGCTTTTTCACATCAAGTTTCTAAAATAAATACATCATATTCGATCTTTTACTATATTACTTATGTTTCATCATAACTAAACATTCACTAATGATCATGTTCCAGAATGGAGAGTTGCTTAATGCTCAATTGCCCATTAAGGTGAGTATATCCTTAATCAAATGGATGTGCCGTCACTTTTATCAAAGGTAGCAGGAGATGTCACCTACAAGGAATTCATATACATTTACTACTGTACTGTACTTTTTACGATTCTTAGAAATATAGGGAAAATTTAAAAAAATCTTCCCTACCTTTTTCTTCCAGTTGATGTTGCAGATGAAGTCGAATTGAAATCTACAAATTGGTTTGTTGTACCGTTGCCAGCTATATTGGTTTCCTGTTGATGCTTTACGAGATGATGCTGAAAACAGAAATAACTAAATTAAAAAACGCATCCTACCCGTAAATATAATGTCCAAAAAAGCATTCTAAAATTGAAAAGTGCTTAAAAGTTTAAAAAGTGACCAACTAATGGCTATGAATCAAATATCGGCAAATCAACCAGACTACTTTGTTATGTCATTAAGTTACTTTAAATAAGGATCATGTTATTTTTGGAACACACTATATTGTCAGAATAATTCGAGTAAAATTCCCGGCTGAAACATTGTTGCTAACGTGTTGAAAGGTACTGATACGAGCAAAACATTGCATGACAGGTACTCCCGTAGTGTTTGTACCAGGTTAGGTCTAGGCCATAATTTGGCGCTTCAGAAGTATGTGTACCAATAAGGAGGTGACCAAAAATCAAAATAAAATTATAGCTTAACCCCAACCTGGTACACATACTATGGGAGTACCCATGATTTTATTTCGATTTTCCTTATTTTATTTCTATTACAAGTTCAGGGACTGTGTGTGTTAGCCACATGAATATACCATCTGCCCATAGGCTTCAGTCACTTTACACAACTTGATGTAAAGCAGGCGAACAAAATTAGTTACCTCCAAATTGGTACACACACTTCTGGAGAGCTGCATGACGAACCATGAAGTCGTATATTGAATTCATCTGTTGACAATTAGTAAACAGGCTATTTGTACATTATACATACATACCTTTAGATGTTCTGATCGACGAAACCTTTTTTCACATAAATTGCATGGATATGGACGTTCACCAGTATGGGTTAAAATATGGCGTTTCAAATGTTGTTGCCGACCAAATAACTTGTTGCAGTATTCACATCTGAAAAAAATACAGAATATATTTCATTTTAGATAGATTAGATAAATATATGTTATATGCAACACATTACAAAACAATTTGAAACACGAACAACGCAGCTCTCAATCACAAGAGATCAGGATTCATTATTTCCTTAATTTCATACATTTTCAGATATTGTGTATATATATATTGTGTATAGGCTGTATTTGAATATACTAAGATAAGTACTCCTGAAGTATGTGCACCAAGATATCGCACAACCTGAACCCTAACCTGCGTTCAGGTTGTGCGCCATCTTGGTGCGAATACTCCAGGAGGTCCAAGAGATATACTGACAATTCAAGACAGTTTGAATGACTCAGCCAGCCACTTGACTAAAGGCATATATTTTTATAGATTTGGCTATTTTTTTTTTGAAAACATTCAGAATGACTTGGCTCAGGTCACTTCAGCAAAACTAGGTTTTCACTGAAATCACAAAAAGTCTTGAGTTAGATGATTCTTACAGCCCCACAACGTATTGCCATTCCCTGACTAAATAGACTCAAATCAGGACATATATGCCAGATGGCCTTGAACTTAAATTAAACTCATTCATAACTGCATTCTGTCACATGAAATATTCCAATATGATTCATACCTGTATTCTTTCTTAGGTTTTTCTTTCTTCATTGCAAGCAAATATTGCGAAACTGAACTGGTTGGTGATGATGTCATTGTTTCTTTGCTGGGGCTGTTAGAGCTGAGAAGCAAAATGGACATGATCAAATATTACATATGAATTATAAAAACATAAACAACTAAAAAAGGAATAATAAAAATTAAGTTTCATATTATTTAAGCATTTCCCTGATTGTGAATGTATGGAAATAAATATTGATTTTGATATAAGAATGAGGCACACTCATTAAAGGTGCATGGCCAAGGAAAGCCTGGGTCTCGTATAGTTTCGCATCTCAAGTACTTCTAGTGGGCGTAGCATAACAATTTTTGCACATGTCAATCCTAACCCCACCATCCAAAAATTACGCCCATTAGGAGTACTTGAGGTTCGAAACTACACTAGACCTAAAAGAAGCAACTATGTTGGTTCCGCAGGTAAAGATATCAGGTTTCAAACCCAAGATTCACAATATCACCCAGGTAAATTGAGCTGGTAGATCAAATCAGAAAGATTTTGTCCTTCTCTCTCTCTCCGCTTGTACAAAGTCTTAATCAGAGTAGAGTTATGCGAAACACCACATAAAAAGCAAAAAATTCAGTATTATGTAGATCTTATAAACAATGGCATTAATTCATCCCAATTAAACTGACCTTATATTTTTTGTCATGGAATACAAATGTTGTTCAACAGAAGTGGATGGAGATGATCTTCCAAGTATAATTGAACCGTATGGATTTTCCCCAGCTGGATGTCCATTTCTTGCGAAATATTCTGCAAGTGATTCATGGTCAATTAAATCACCATCAGGTCCTGAGGAAAACACATTTGGCTTGATATAGGATTTAATGATTGTATTTACCAAAATGGTAAATATCTTGAAATTACTTGTTGGGAAATTCAATAAAAATGTTTGCAAAACTTTAAAAATAACCAATTTCTTATTATATTAAACTTTTTTATTCAAAATTTTCTATATATTTTGAAGGTGTCGTAATAGTTGAAGCGTTATACTCAACCATGATGGCATCGCAGGCTGAAATATCAGATTAAGATACCATGCCCAGCAGTTCACTCAAGATGTAACAAATAGCGTAGGCCATGCCAAATCATAAAGATTCCATACCTTTCAAAATAAAGGAGCTCCCACCGTATCAGAGTGGCTTGTGCAGAGCAAAAAAGCATATAAATACGTCATATAAACAATTTCTCTGGTTTACATGTATAGCCTACTAACCTTGCCCTTCACCATTCTGCAAAAGCATTTTCAAAGCTCCATTTCTGTGAGGATTTCCTTCACCCAGAATATGATTTAGTCTGCTTTGGTTAGAAAATTCAATAAGTGCTCTTGTTGCTGGGTTACTATCTGAGTTCGCTTGCTCTCCATTTCCAGATGAATTTTCTGCATTTTCTTGTTTGATCAAAAGCTGATTGAAAAATAAGAAGATATTTTATTTCATCATATCATTTATACCTATTTTTAAATGTAAAGTTTTATCACATTACACAGCTCTTGGATGAATTGACTTAGTATTGTAGAGAAGCTCACATAAAAAAATTTCGAAACGTTCGAAGCGTCTAGTAAAGAATTTTTCAAAATGGCCCTTGGCCCCCCAAGGGGGCCTAGTTCTCTGGGAGCCACAAGAAAATGACATCACCCATTTCGATGATTGATGATTATATTAATTTAAAGTAACGACTGTGATTTGTTTAAATATTTGACTGCATGCATGTACTTATTGCTTTCATTTGCTTTTTTATTATTACCGTAATTGTGACACATAAAATAACTGACGAAAATGTGTTGACAAAGTGCTGAGGGTGTTTGACGGGGGCTTCATTTCATGAGAGTTTGAGAACCATTCCCATTCGAGTCAACATCACTAGCCAACTTGATGCCTTAAACTTATTCATCCAAAATAATGTAAAAGTGTTATTACAATTGCTTTCAGCATCTGACAAACTGATGTTTAAGAACTTGTGAAATTTGGGTATTTTAGGAATTATTTATAATACAAAATATTCATCCACACTGCGAAGAAAAACTCACATTGTCTGATTTTCCTTCAGGACTCAAATCATGAGGTTCATCATTGACGATAGGTGATCCAACACCAGTTACATCTTCACCTCGATTACTGTTTGTTCCTGATTGATTACCAGGTGAGGGAGGTGTGTTTATTAGTTCGCATTCCTATGGAAAGAAGTATATAAGATATTATATTATATATATATTTATCAACATAACCAGTCTCAAAGTAGATAATGGTGATTTGATATGATGACAGTTTTGTAGTTCCTATGTAATGTAAAAGGCAGAAACTACAGGAAAGTTTGAAAATCTCTACCGTTTGAGCCTACTTTATACATGAATCTTGTGGTGTGTTTGTGCTGATCAATGAACAAATTTGTCCATCATAATCTTATATGGTTAATGTAATCATGTCAAAGAGTGCTAACCAATGTGTCAAGATAATAAATATTATTTGTTGAAAATTAAAAAAAATTTGAGACCCTTTCTGTTGGATATTCTCAGGTTTTAATGAACTCTTATAAATAAAAATATGAAAGCAACAAATTTACCACAAGAGGCCACAAGACATTTGATAAAAAATACCCTTTATAAGAGCAATTTGAGACAGTGAAAAGTAACATACCTAAGAAAGTGAAAAATGACAACTTTGCAAATTGAAAATTCCATTTGCGAAATTGGATTTTCTGTAGTTTAATAAGTTTCTATTAAATTTACCTGATTGTCAGAGTCTTTGTTAGGGAGATATCTCTGATCAGGTATTGCAGGAAATGTATTCTGAGGTGATACATGGCCATGAGTTACAATAAATTCTTGGCATTTGTCAACAACATATGGAATCTGTAGGTAGCAAGCTGAACATAATACCTGAAATACAAAATAATAACCTATTTAAATTAAATGTGTAAGTAGCGTTTCTCAGTAAATACTTTTTTTTGAGTGACAAATCATGTATAAAGAGTGAATCGAATGCTTAAACATTATATCACACATGCTTTCGTCATATAAAGCAATTTCATTGAATGACTAAAACCAGAGAATTTCCCCAAATTGGGAAAACTATTACATCTTCGATATTTATATTCTATGCATTACAACAATGTGTAACAATACAAATGAATGGAATCATAAATTTTCTCTGTCAAAATTGTGAAATTTGATGTGACGTAAGCTAACTTTATCGTCCGTCCGTATATATGTGGACCAAGCATATTATTAATCAATCAAGATATCGCCTTCAAAAATTGGGGGACAGCCAACTTTTTGCAGAAGTAACAACAATATAGAACTACCCGATATACTGATTACGTTCGAGTTATGATTGAAAATTGCATCAAATCTACAATTTATGTAACTATATTTTACAAAGTTTAAGCTTTTTGCATTGACATATTCAAATCATAAGACAAAAGGTACAAAGTTCCAAGAAATCATAGGGAAATGCCAACCAAGATCAGCCAATTAGTCATGAATCACGAGGGGTTTGTATGGTACATACAAATTTACATTAAAACAAATTTGAGATGAAAAAGACAATAGGCACAATTGACGCATTTGTGTAGGCACTGCACTTACTGCTTAAGGATAACGGAAATAAGGGTTATATGCATGCGCGAATTCCGTGTCATATTGAAATTACCTCATGCAAAGTAAAATATAGCTAACATAGAAACAGACTTTGTCATATTTTTTTATCTATTGAAATACCAACTCATCAACCAGCTTGCTTTATTATTAGACCATGAAACACCACTTATCGAATATAGATCATAGCAAATTCGAGTAAATGTACAAGAAATGTTTTAACATCTCTGGGGATCTTCTCTAAAGCGAAAGCGGTTACTAGTTACTACTTAACAAATTTGTTCATTTACGGGGGATCATGTAATTCACAATCTATCATCAGCATAGCAATAATAGGATGGGGTACCGGTAAACCTTAAACAAACCGGATAAAAGTAAACTACAAACTTTTTTGAGCTTGGAGTTACCAAAATTAATGAAATCCCCTGGGTGTGCTTGAACAAAAAAGAATGATACACTGAATGACACAAAAATGTTCCCATATTTCCCATTGTCCCTTGGGCATGATATCTCCTGAATTTTTCACATATTTTCAACACCAACCAACTTATCATCAAATTAGTTTAATATAAATTTAGAGATATTCCATTTGGATACAACTTGGTAGACGCAACATCATTAATGCCAAGTATATGCAAACCAGAATGCTATATATAGGCACTACTGGAAAATTATCTATATTTCTCCAATCTAAATGATTGCATTATGACATGAAAAGACATGTTTTAAAATTTCCTCCTGCTATGTATGGACAATGGATAGAGCAGAAATTAGTATCACAAGAATTATTATTTGAATCGACTAGCAGGGAAGGGTACCCATTTCACGGCACAACAGCATGAAATGTCATTCTGAACTTTTTTGAGACGTTTTTACATATTCTAGAATGATTCTACCTTATGAAGTATTAAAAAAACTATTAATAAGCCCCAATTCTAACGCCCTATTAATATTGCTTTTCACAGTATTACATGACGAAACACATGAACAATATCGTGAAATTTACATGCCTGAAGCCAAATTGCTCCCAAAATTGAATGTATTAAATAAAGGTTATAATTGACCATATGTGTCATGCAATTTGCATAGTAGTAGGTCATACGAATCATCAATCCCTGACAAAAATTTTACAGGAAAATCGAGGTCAAACATAGCGAAGTCAAGACTTGTTAAAACGTGTTTATTATTCAATCGAAAGCGTTGGCATTATTATTGGCGAAAGAACGTTAAACGATTTATTCAACCTAACTGCATTGTCGTGGGTGTCCAAAGCGCTGGTAACCAGTTACAATACATAATACTCCGTCCTGGTTTAACCAACTTAATGACCTAAAAACCTCAAACGACCTCACTGAAATAATATAAATTGATGAACAGCGAATTAACATGAATTTAGCTATCAATGCTTGCATTTACATTTTCCCGCCAAACCAAGATGGTCGCGCTCTCATACCTGTATGACCGGCCATTGATGTAGGGCGACACCGCAGCTCAGCACAGTACAATAACAAAATTATATTAACCACACAATGCATGGTATATCATAAATGATGGCAAACGATACGATATTTTTAACAGTACAAAATATTTAATATTAAATCTTGTTCTGAATGTTTTTTCGACGGGGAAGAACGCCAAAAATCGTGACGTTTGTTTTGCGGGTTTCCGGACGTCAAATTCCGGCAATGCTCTCTCCTGACCTGGACACAATCATCATGTTAATTCAGTTTGATTCATATAACTTTGTCGAAAAAAGGTTAGAAAAATAATGGTTATAACTAAAGCAGTCCACTTTATATCGATGTTTTTCAAATATTATTGCGTGTAGCTCCAGACATTGCCCATGGGGTATAGTTGAAAACGTAAAATGTATAAACACGAGTTTTTATCTTTGACTATTCTGATCATTGACCAAGATAATTTTTATTACTGTATTATCAAAGCCTGTTTTGTCGTAGAAATGTAAGAATACAAAAAATTCCGAATTAAATTCGTTAATTCGATCGCAGCCGATTTATTTGAACTAAGAAAGTTAACTTAAACGGTAATCGCGGCCTTGTCTACTTCGATTCGTAAATTAATTATTAAGGATATTTTGTCATAACCAACTGCGATTGTACATAGCCATGCTATGCTAACAGAACAAATGGGATAAAAAATAAATATGAGAGACGATGCCAAAGTCTAGTTTTTTGATGATGCGAGTGAGTCGATGTACTACCACAGTGGCAAATGCTTTTAGCACAATGTTCCTGTTTTTCGCACCAAAATTTCATAGAACCGCCTCGGGGCCTAACCGCCACTTACGCGTGGCCTTGATCACCCACACCAATGCCATATGATGAAACGTCATAAAATTCTGAAAACAGAAAAACAACTCCTAATTAGGAATTAGACAGCGTTTGTAAAATTAATTTCATCTCAGAAAAGACCGCGAGTCTGCGACTGGGTGACGGAAATGATGATGGTAAAACGAAAATCTATTCGGGCCGGTCTGTGGAAAAAGTCGCCGACAATTTGGGATACGTGTTATGGGAATGGTCCTTGGCGCATAAAATGATCAAAAACTGTATTTAAAATTCATTTTGGTTATAAATATTTTTTTACAAGTAATCGGTGCAATGTAGAGATGGTAAACCATTACAATCTTAAAAACACAGGTTATCATGAAAAGCAAGTTTTCATAATGCTTCTTTTTCAATTATTCATTTTTCAATTCAAACAGTGAAAACACACAAGAATATGTAATATTTCATTTTTATCGTAAATGAAAACAGCATATTCAAAAATTTACTGTTTAATTATGAATTTGGAAAAATGGAATCAATTTTTCCTAACGCATTTGTGACGACGAGTGAAAATATTGCCGTGATGGTTAATTAATATATTTCCAATCATGTTCCGATTATATTCAATACAACGAATATTTTGGTCCGGCGCGTGATGAGGCCAATCACAGAAAATTAAAATAGCTGGGTGCTTCAGTAGTGTGGGCATAATTAGACGAACGAAACCATTACATCGATAACAAACGCTTTTAATATTAACAGGACACGATTTCAGTAGCACAAAAATGCCTTAATTGGTGGGGATTACAAAGTGTTCCTGTTAGCCTTATTCTCGTGATTTCTAGAAGTAATTTAGGCTCACTCGGGGCGATTTATCTACATGAGGAACACGCACGCGCTTCTCATAACTTAAGAGTAAGAATAGCCAGAGGGGTTGTCATGTTTTTGGGTGGTAAGAAAATATAACTGACGTCGGTCTGGGTGCTTAACAAAGGTTTCTGCGGAAAACAACACTAACAGCATATACGATGCCCTAGAGCAGTGATTCTGAAATTGTTTTCCGTATTCTGTCTGTGCCCACTATAAGTTCTGAGTTCCAACCAACATTCCACTTTTCAAAATTTGAAAATTAAATAAGGTAAAAAAATATTTATTACCTCGGATATGTTAAACAAATAGTGATAACCGACAAGTAAAAAAATGTCGATTCATTTTTTCGTGGGATCGCTATTTGAGAAACCTTTCTCCTACAATCCACAACCAAAGACGCATTTCATATTTTACTGGGCACGTGTGCAAGGTGTGCACTTTAATCCGCCGACTTCATGTCAAGACCAACCCAGTAATTTTGATTTTCAATTGGGTGACTGGCGGTAATAATTACAATTCGGAGAAAAATGTAGATAATTCGCGATCCTTGGCCTGTCTTCCTATAAAATTTTTACTTTGCGATAGCCCGGGGCCAGAACATTTCCGTGACCCAATGAAAAAGTTTCAGCTGAAATGGCAAAATTAAATTAATGACGTTTTAGATTTTGAATAGAATATAACGAAAAGTGAAGTTTCGTTTTTGAATTTGGCAAACATCACATAATTTAAGTCTAAGACTATTCGTTTATATTATTATACCAAATAAACGACCAAATACTCGTTCAATGCCCGTTTAGAGTTAATTCGAGTGCATTCATATAAGATTTATCCGCGCGGTATGCCCGTTACAATTAATCACAACGGCATCTTCGTTTGACCCTTCATATAAATCGAACCCTGCGGCAAGCCAATACGATCCAACCACTTCACGCATCCGCGCAGTATCCTTATTTTATTTACCGCGAATAGCCTGCTCAATATTATTATAACAATGGTAAAATATAATAAAGAATATCATATTCACTCACTCCATATTAGCGATGCTTGTTTGAAACATGAGACGCTAAGGACCTCTCCCCCGTTTCCCATACAATTAGTTTGTCCCCTGTCGGCCACAAGAGATTT